ATCTGCCCACCTTGGCCTTCCAGAGTGCTGGGATTACAGGCGTGAGCCACTGTGCCCGGCTGGCATTCAGTTTTATAAGGGAAGCAATGCATAAAAGTTCAGAAAATTTGCAGACTGACAATGTGATAAAAAAGAAAATCCTGGCCAGGTGTGGTGGCTCATGCCTGTAATCCCAGCACTTTGGGAGGCCAAGGCAGGTGGATTACCTGAGGTTGGGAGTTCAAGACCAGTCTGACCAACACATGGAGAAACAATGTCTCTACTAAAAATAGAAAATTAGCTGGGCTTGGTGGCGCGTGCCTGTAGTCCCAGCCACTTGGGAGGCTGAGGCATGAGAATTACTTGAACCTGGGAGGTGGAGGTTGTGGTGAGCTGAGTTTGCACCACTGTACTCCAGCCTGGGCAACAAGAGCGAAACTCCATCTCAAAACAAAAAACAAACAAAAAAAGAAAATCCCATTTTCTGAGGAGAAATTCAAGCTGGCTGCAGAAATTTGCATAAGCAATGAGGAGCTGAATGTTAATCACCAAGACAATGGGGAAAGTCTTCAGGGCATGTGAGAGGTCTTCATCATACCCGCTCCCCCACTCCACCATTCACAGGCCTGGAGGCTTAAGAGGAAAAAAAGTGGTTTTGTGGGCTGGGCCCAGGGTCTCCATGCTGGTTGCAGCCTAGGGACTTGGTGCTGTACGTCCCAGCTGCTCAGCCATGACTGAAGGGGGCCAATGTAGAGCTTGGGCCATACAGAGGGTGTACGCCTCAAGCCTTGGCAGCTTTCACATGGTGTGCATAGAAGTCAAAATTGAGGTTTGGGAACCTCTGCCTAGACTTCAGAGGATGCATGAAAATGCCTGGATGTCCAGGTAGAAGTTTGCTGCAGGGGCAGGGCTCTCATGGAGAACCTCAGCTAGGGCAGTATGGAAAAGAAATGTGGGGTTGGAGTCCCTACGAAGAGTCCCTACTGGGGCACCACTTAGTGGAGCTGAGAGAAGAGGGCCACTGTCCTCCAGACCCCAGAATGGTAGATCCACTGACAGCTTGCACCATGTGCCTTGAAAAATCACAGACACTCAACACCATCCTGTGAAAGCAGCTGGGAGGGAGGCTGGGAGGTAAAGTCACAGGGGTGGAGCTGCCCAAGACTATGGGAACCCACCTCTTGCACCAGCATGACCTGGATGTGAAACATGGAGTCAAAAGAGGTCATTTTGGAGCGTTAAGATTTGACTGCCCCACTCAATTTCAGACTTGTAAGCGGCCTGTAGCCCCTTTGTTTTGGCCAATTTTTCTCATTTGAAACGGCTGTATTTACCCAGTGCCCATGCCCCTATTGTAGCTTGGAAGTAACTTACCTGCTTTTGATTTTACAGGCTCACAGATGGAAGTGACTTGCCTTCTCTCAGATGAAATGTTGAACTGTGGAGTTTTGAGTTAAAGCTGAAATAAGACTTTGGGGGACTGTTAGGAAGGCATGATTGGTTTTGAAATGTGAGGACATGAAATTTGGGAGGGGCCAGGGGAAGAATGATATGGTTTGGCTGTGTCTCCACCCAAATCTCACTGTGAATTGTAACTCCCACAATTCCCACATGTTGTGGAAGAAACCCGGTGGGAGGTGATTGAATTATGGGGTCAGGTCTTTCCTGGGCTCTTCTTGTGATAGTGAATATGTCCCACGAGATCTGATTCTTTTAAAAATGGGAGTTTCCACCGGGCATGGTGGCTCACGGTTGTAATCCCAGCACTTTGGGAAGCCGAGGCAGGCAGATCACGAGGTCAAGCGATCGAGACCATCCTGGCCAACATGGTGAAGCCCTGTCTCCACAAAAATACAAAAATTAGCTGGGCGTGCTGGCATGCGCCTGTAGTCCCAGCTATGTGGGAGGCTGAGGCAGGAGAATCACTTGAACCCAGGAGGCAGAGGTTTCAGTGAGCCAAGATCCTACCACTGCACTCCAGCCTGGTGACAGTGCAAGACTCTGTCTCAAAAACAAACATACAAACAAAAAACAGGAGTTTCCCTGCACAAGCTCTCTCTTTGCCTGCCACCATCCACATAAGATGTGACTTGCTCCTCCTTGCCTTTTGCCATGATTGTGAGGCCTCCCCAGCCATGTGGAACTGTAAATCCATTAAACCTCTTTTTCTTCCCAGTCTCGGTCGGGTATTTCTTTATCAGCAGCGTGAAAATGGACTAATACAGTATCTAAGACTTAAAAAAAAATTTAAGGTGAAATTTACATAACACAAAATCAACCATTTTAAAACGTACAATACAGTGGCATTTAGTAAATTCACAATGTTATGCAACTACCCCATCTATATCAAGTTCCAAAATAGTTTCATCACTCCCTGCAAAAAAACTCTGTATCCATTAAGCAGTTATTTTTCATTTTCCCCCTAGACCCTGGAAACCACAGGAACATTAACTTTTAAGTTATTCTAAGGAATTTTAAAGTCATAAAGTAGATATTAAAACAGACAGATTTTAGATGGCTGTGCAACTGCTTCCAGTCATACAGAAAAGAGTTTTTTTCAATAATCTCAATTCCAGTTTTTATTAGCCATTTTATGTACATTGATACCAAGTCCTGAAAACTGATAAAAACATGTCCAGAATTCTTTTTTTCCTTTTCTGAGAAAGGGTCTTGACCTCTCACCCAGGATGGAGTGTAGTGGTGCAATCACAGCTCACTGCAGCCTCAATCTCCCAGCCTCAAGTGATCCCCCCATGTCAGTCTCCTGAATAGCTGGGACTACAGGCACATGCCATCACACCTAACTAATTTTTTTATTTTTTGTAGAGATGAGGGCTCACTATGTTGCCCAGGTTAGTCTTGAACTCCTGGACTGAAGTGATCCTCCTGCCTCGGCCTCCCAAAGTGTTGGGATTATAGGCATGAGCCACAGGACCCGGCCCATGGTTTCTTATATAGTCAATGTACAAATGCTCATTTATATTTTGCACAATAATGAAGATAAAAATAACAATTACAGCAACATACAAATATGTACAAGGATTCAAGACAGACTTTGTTTTTTGGCTTATAACAATGTGTAGATACTACACAAAGAATGAGGATGTAATTTTCATTTACAAGCAAAATGTGACCAAAATCCCTTTTCTTCTTAAAATTGAAAAATGAAATTCTTGAGAATACTAATTAGTGACAGCCAAATCTGACTATTTAAAATTAGCCATGGTTAAACATAGGTGAGTTAAACATTGTGCCTTTCCAAAATTAACGTTTGCAGTTAGAAACATAAACATTTGATAAAACTTCTCAAAATTAATTATAAGTGGCTTTTTCATGTTCTCTGGATTCCAGACACATACTAGAAAAAGTAAATGTAAAAGAGGTGATATTTTGGAAAGCATCCCTAGTACTGAAAAGCATCCCTAGCACTGAAAAAAGCATCCCTAATACTGAAAAGCATCCCTAGTACGGAAAAACATCTTCAGGAGTACCCAGTGGTACACTAGCAGGAAACTCATGATGTACTAAAAATACTGAGAACAAAGCGGGGGAAGTAATAAGCAGCTATTTTACTGATGTATTAAATATACTGGAATTATGAGGCATAAGATATTTATGTGGTTTTTAAAAGGTTTAAAGGCCGGGCGTGGTGGCTCAAGCCTGTAATCCCAGCACTTTGGGAGGCCGAGACGGGTGGATCACAAGGTCAGGAAATCGAGACCATCCTGGCTAACACAGTGAAACCCCGTCTCTACTAAAAAATACAAAAAAAACTAGCCGGGCGAGCT